TGGTCACTTTTAGCTGCAAAGAAGCCCAGAAATCAAATTATTTGGTTTAACATTTAGCTCCCCAGAACAAAACCAAGATATTGTTCAGGAAGACGGAGTTTGTGGCAGATGATAGCAGGGTCTGCTGTAAGGGCCAGGGTCTGCCAGAAGGCCAGGCCTTTGGGTGGCTCACGGTGACGATCCCTGGGGGCTGCTGCAGTCCCCCGCAGTCACAGCTTTGTATATTGCCACATGTATCTACATATGTACACGTGGTGGAATACACACAAACATGATAGAAAGCATTTGCCTGAATAAGAACCATGCTCTCATTTCTCCATTTAGCCAGATGGTGCTTCTCTCAACAGTAGTACCCTGTCAGATGGGTCTCAGGATGAAGAATGGAGTTTTGCTGTTCCCAGGAGTGGCTCCATGGTAAGTCATCACCTGCCCAGACAGTTGCGTGTCAGGGAAAAATTGCAGGTTCAAGGCAAGAAGAAGCAATTTCTTCAAACGGATGAAATGGACTTCAGCTAGCATTGTAAGGAAACCACAGCTGCCAGTGGACCCACCAACCTGGAATGATTAGGAAGAAGGCACATCAAAATACTGGGGAATGACTAGATCTCATTTTGAAAGAGGACTCCATGAATTAATGCCAATGCAGTGTTCTTTACAAGGATCAAACGGAGGAATTTGTTATTCTTTGATGTAAATATATAATCTGTAAAAACTGTTAGGTATAGTTTTATGCCAAGCCCTGGCATTATTGTAGCCATAATGCTTTGATTAATTTTCCAGTGGGTAGAGTCTGGGGGTTATATTCCTTTCAATCCCAACTTGTATGAATTTGATAATGTATTTGTTCTAGCAAAACATCCAGTTCAGCATATGTTGGTGTGTGTGCATGTGTACATAAATATATAGTTATATATAATATATTTATTTATTTAACATTTTTCTGTACAGGTGGCTATTACTTCTTTTTTCTCCCTAAGATTTATGTCTTTTATGTCAATCAGAATGTAAATACTTGCTTGTGTGGGTAATATTTTTTTAAAGTCACTACCTTTAATTAATTAAGCCTACTTTTGCTACTAAATTAAATTAATATAATGTAGATTATATTAATTTATTTAATCTTAATTATTTTTTTCATTTGTTATCTGGTCGACTTGGACAAGTTTTTCTAGTCTCTTAGATTATAGACCTATTTTATTTATTTTTAAAGTTTATTACTTGCATTTAAGGTTAAGAAGTAATCTGAATACTTTGGCTATTCTCATGGTTTTTGGAATTTATTACTCTCACTGTCTTTAATATTTAGTTTATAATTTCAGATGTGATTCAGTATTTAATCTGCAATGTCATCAGATTGCCTTTAAATTCACATCTGGATAGATGTTGTAATTGTTATTTTTTAATTTCAAAATTGATTGCATATTCATCCATGAATGTGACTTATTTAAGTTCATCTCTGGAGAATTTGGCACAAAGTGTTTACAAGAGGTGGATTTCTCCATTCTAATCTCAGGTGCAGAAGAGGAATATGGTAGCCATGTTTTCCGTAATGACTCCAGCACAGGCAGCTTTAGTATCTGGAGTTACAAAATGTAGATTCACACCATGAGAAAAAACCCAGCAACCAGTCAGGACAGTGAGGAACATCTATTAGTTGATAAATTTCTCCTTTAAGTAATTAACATGAAAAATATTTGGTATGGTGATTCTTCAACGTGAAGGAAATATGCCATAGTCAAAGTATAGTTTTAAGGGAACTCACATAGCTAAGTTGGTAAAGAATTTGCCTGCAATGCAGGAGACCCGGTTTCGATTCCTGGGTCAGCAAGATCCTCCTGGAGAAGGAAGTAGCACCCCACTCCAGTAGTCTTGCCTGGAGAATCCCATGGACAGAGGAGCCTGGCAGGCCACAGTTCTTAGGATCGCAAGAGTTGGACATGACTTATCAACCAAACCATCAAGCAGATAGAGCTAACCTTCTACATCTTGGGATTTAAAATACTAATCCCTCAGGCTTGACTGTGCAGTCCCAGTGCAGTAGGATTTGGGCAGCAAGGCGAGCCCTGATGCCTGCATATCTTTGCCTCTCTTAAACCAGCTGAGGCCCCAGTAGAAAAATCTCATGGCTGGGATTGTAGGGAGATGGCAGGATCCATTATGGACAAGTCAGAGAAGTTTGTTTTAAGTGGGAGTGGCATATATGTTTTAAATACTTCAAAATCACTAGAAAAAAATTTTAAGATTCTAATACTAATATGTTTAATGAGTAAAGGGATGGTTTAAAACTATGAGTAAAAAACAAAACAAAACCATGAATACCAAGCACTGAGCCTTTTCATTCAATGTGTTTCAAAACTTCTGGTCCCTTTATTGGCAGTGAGATCTTTCTTTTCATTTTCACCAAGTCATTCTCCTGCTTTAATACACAAGAAAAGAATGCTCTTTTGTTTGTTTTGTTCTGCTGTGTTTTAGCCCTTAAGAAACTAAGTCTGAGCACATTTACCTGGCTTTGAAAGTGAAAGTGAAGTCTCTCAGTCGTGTCCGACTCTTTGCGACCCCATGGACTGTAGCCCACCAGGCTCTTCCGTCCATGGGATTCTCCAGGCAAGAATACTGTAGTGGGTTGCCATTTCCTTCTCCAGGGAATCTTCCCGACCCAGGGATTGAACCCAGGTCTCCCGCATTGCAGGCAGATGCTTTAACCTCTTACCTGGCTTTAACTCCTGGCAAATCAGGCTCTCCGTTGATCCTCTCATGAAGCCGGAATGCTTCAGATTCCCATACCTGGAATTTATCGTTCCATGCCTGGCCTGAATGCTTTGCCCACCTCCCCGCCTTTGTAAGTCCTTTTCATCTTTCCTTGAGTCCCAGCACACGATCAACAACCTCTTCAGTGAGACCTTTTGGGTAGCACCTCCTTGCTCTCCACTACTCTCCAGTAAATACTTGTATTTTAGTGTAGAAATTCACTCTTAGCAGTGGACTGTCTTTTAATAATGTTCCACAAATGTTACTCTCTTCTCCTCATTATAAGTAGCTGAAGAGCAAGGGTCACAATTTAAATTTCTTCCCCCAGGAAAGTCCCAGAATCATTTACATTACAAAGAATAGGCCCTTGTTCAATACTGTAGGCTGGCTGGAGGCCACTTAAACCCAAGGAGCAGATGACACTTGTCCACTTTACAGACCAGGAAATTGACATTTAGTCATTTAAGCTTCCCAAACCATTAGCTTCAAGCCCTGCACGAATGTCGATTTTCAGGAACATTCTCTAGTATAGATGATGAGTTATTTCAAAGTTTAATGAAGTATTGCTCTGTAGGAAACCTTAAAGAAACCACTGAAAAGTGTTCCACATCATTTTTTAAGATTTCATTGTGGGGTAATCTTTATTCTGTGGTGTTAGTTTTTAGAGCCACCAAATATATACTTGGGCATCTGTGTTAAAATAATTGGGTATGCATTCGCATTCTGTTTACATAATAAGATATGTCATCTCTTTGGCATAAAGTAGGGAAAAGAGAAAACAAAGTTCAGCATTGCAGATTCCTTCCTGCAGTTTGTAGTAGTGGTGGTTTAGCTGCTAAGTCCTTTCTGACTCTTGCGACCCCATGGACTGTAGCCTACCAGACTCCTCTGTCCATGGGATTTCCCAGGCAAGAACACTGGAGTGGGTTGCCATTTCCTTCTCCAGTTCACTTCATATTGCTGAATAAATATGAGAATAAAAGAAACAACACCAGGTTCTGGGGGAAAAAAGAACAGACTTACGTATAAAGAGCATATAAAGGATTATTGATGGAGTAGCCAATTTTCACCCTCAACGTACTCATGGCTGGTAACTTCCACAATAAAATTCATATTCGTAGAAATGGTGGAATTTGTGTGTAAAGTTTTTACTAGTACCCACCTCAAGGAGCCTGATGTGCTATATTCCTTGGGGTTGCAAGAGTCGGATATGACTTAGCAAGTAAACCACCACCAGCATCCGATCTGAGTAGTAACACCAAACTCTACGAAGATAGATACCCAGCTTCTGATAGCATTGCAGGGGAGTGCAGCAGTGTGGCAGGATCACAGTGAAGAAAAATAACAAATTAATTAGGAGAGGACACAACGAGAAAACATGCTGAACCCTCTGGTAGTTATTATCCCTCTGTATTTTGTTGCGAAGAAGTTAATGTATTAGTATATTAATAGTAGCTAACCCTCATACAGTAGTCACTGTGTATCAGATGTTGTCCCATGTGATTTATAGCCATTTAAAATTCATAAAAACTTGTTGAAATATGTTCTTTTATAATCTTCATTTTACCGACCAGGGAGACTAATAGCGAGCTCTGTAACTGGAAGTCATGTGAAGTGAAAGAGCCAGGATTAGAATCCAGGCATCCTGGCTCCTGGATCCCTTCTATTAACCATCTAGTTATGTCATAACTTAGGGTTTATGACCAAAATGTATGACCAGCTGCATCAAGAATAACAAGTGCAGAGACTTCTCTGGCGGTCCAGTAGTTGAGACTTTGCCTTCCAATGCAGGGGGTGCGAGTTCGATCCCTGATCAGGGAACTGATATCCCACGTGCCTCTCAGTCAAAAAACCCCCTTAAAAACAGAAGCAGTGTTGTAACAAATTCAGTAAAGACTTTAAAAATGGTCGAAATCAAAAATTCTTTAAACAATCGGAATGATAAAATAATCGTCAAACTATGTGACAGCAAGCGTTGTCATTCCTATGTGTTAGGAAACATATGCCAGCAAACACTTGAGGAGGTGTGGTTATTCTGACCTTGGCTTGGTTCTCTTGAGAAAACTGTGTGGGCTGTACAGATCTGAACTGAGTGAGAAAACACAGGGAATCAGATGCCAGCCCTTCATGGAATCAATCATTCTTTTTGGTGAAGTAGTTCTAATGCGCCGCCCAACGTGAATGAGGTGGAAGCGCAGGGTAGCCTGCATTCCTGGTGAACTGTTCTCTGTTCATCTTCCCTTGGTTCACAGTCCATCCTGGAGGCCATTCCAGACGTGCCAGTCCATTCCAACGGCGCAGCAGACCCTGGACAGTCCGCGCGGAACGTGGCAAGTGGTGAGTGACACAGCCGCCTCGGCCTGTGTGTCTTTTTGCTTTTGTGCTGACGCTCAGTTCGGTGAGCAATGGCTTTCTGAAGCAAAATGTATGTGTGTTTTTCTCGCCTTCCTGATTTCTGTCACACCGGACCTCTGCTCCCACTACCTCCAAACACCCCGTCCTTTCACACCCAGTAGTCACATTGCAAGCAGAATCGTTTCTACCTTGACGACCGCTGTGTCATTTAGAAACTGCTCATTCAGGTAGTGCCTTTGGTTTGGGGTCTCTTTTATAGGTAACCTGGATCTGCTCACCAGCATCAAGCAGGCCGGGAAGTAGACACCTTCTAAAAATTTCTAGTTATGCTCAAGTATATGCAGCACCAGAGATGCTTGTGATGTTTCCTTACACAGTAACAGGGTGAACTTTTAATGGGGCCTCCTCCACTTGAGAGCTGGGTACTCTCTGTGGGTTCAGAGTGGAATCTCAAATCCTCCTTGTAGGAAATAGGTCCCTTTTAGGCCACAGTTTTGTGGTTCCCCAAAGGTCCCCCTAAAGATACACGCTCCTCTCAGGCACAACAGAACTCCATACTTTGAGCGTTTGCTTCAAAATTCAAATAAATTGAGGTGACGAAATGTTCTAACATTGATCGATGGTTGCACAATGCTGCAGATATGTTAAAAATCATTGACTATGCACTTCACGTAAGTAATTGTTGGGCATGTGGATTACATTTTAATAAAACCGTTATCAAAAAAAATTAAAGATAATGGATTTACCATAAATTATTCCACATCATTCTGTTTGCTGCCATGTAGTTATTCAATTCGAATCGTACCACTGAGAGGTAAAAGGCCACTTGGAGTAGTCCAGTGATTTGGCACATCAGCCTGTATAATCACCACTGTCCAAAGAATCTGCCCTTAGATCCTTAAGAATTTAGAGTCTTGAGACTTCCCTGATAGTCCAGTGATTAAGAATCCACCTTGCAATGCAGTGGACGCAGGTTTGACTCCTGGTCTAGAAACTAAGATCCCACATGCCACATGCCACAGCTACTGAACTCGCACTCCATGATGAAAGATCCTGCATGCCACAAGTTGAGTCGACACAGCCAAATAAATATTTTTTTAAAAGGAACAAGTAGTTAGAGTCTTATCTAATAATTAACTATTACTCTGATTTGAATGCAAGCCTCTGTATAATGTGTGAAAATCATAACTTTGCCTTGTTATTTTCTGAGTTCTTACTGTATCCATTTATTGTGTTTTAAATCAATATTATTTTTTAGAATTTTAGATCTGTTGATTTACAAATTTCTCCACTAAACTTTTAATTGAGATAAACTAGGTCTTCTGTCATTTCTGTCGGTTGCTCCTTTTGTTCTATTTGGCTTTCTTTTAGTTATTGATTATAGAAGAGGGTGGGCTTTCCAGGTCAGTGGTAAAGAATCTACCTGCCAATGCAGGAGATGCAGGTTTGATCCCCAGGTCAGGAAGATCCTTTGGAAAAGGCAATGGCAACCCACTCCAGTATTCTGGCTGGAAAATCCCATGGACAGAGGAGCCTGGTGGGCTGCAGTCCATGAGATTGCAAAGAGCTGATCAACAAGTTAATATAGAAGAGGGTAAAGCTGATGAATTCTGTTTTTTGTAGTCAAATAATTCTTTTCATGACATAGGAACAATTTTGCCAGGCAATAAAACAAGATGGCAAGCCAGACTCTCAGTCGAAAATCAGATTTAGGATTACTCAAGTGATTTCCCTTGCTTTTGGTAAGGAATCTATTGTCTTAATTTCAAACTTGAGAGAAACAGGTATAGGGAACAGGACTTGTCACCCATTTATCTTTGGAATGTGCACCATCCAAGACCAGAAAACCAGGCCAGAGTCACAGGAATCAGGATTAATTCACCTGAACAAATCTCAAGAGTGAAGGGCAAACTGGATTGGAACAAATCTGAAGCGGCATAGTCCCACAGTTTGGGATAAAAACTCAAGAGGAGTGAAAGTAGGCAGAACTTTTCTGTGGGGCCTCCACCCTTCCTCCTTCTGCTTTAAGTTTTTGCTTCCCCGTAGCAGTGGTGTTGTATATGGATAGACATCATTTTATAAGAATACATAGGAACATTTTGTTATGGACTTTCTAATAATCTAATAATCTTCAGTGCTTTTCATGAGACATGAGCATCTAAAATTAAAAACATCAGATTAAATAGGAAGTTCACGTAACGATTGTAGAAGCTTGTTCGTATGGAAGTCTGATGACACTACATTAATTGTTTAACCGAGATCATTCTGGGTGAGTCTGATGCTTTTCCAAGGGTGTAAACATTTTAACGTGCTTGTGGATTAACTCATCAATATTTTATGTTTATTTTACAGTCAGTGGTATTGATCAATTAAATGGCATATTAAATATTCCACATCCTCTGTTCTTTAGATGATGAAGATCTGGAAAAAAACATTTTGGTAGAAGCTGAAGAGCTGTCCTTTGAAGTATCATATTCAGAAAAGCTAACACAGGCTCCAAAAAGGAACAGATTTAAGAAGTTAGATTTTAAGAAAGAAGACTATGTTTTACCTGTAAGTAAAACGTGGAAATGGAGAATATAGCAATGGCATTGTCTTCGAAATGAGAGTAGGATTATTTGACACTTCCTGTGCATTTTGCTTTTTTAAGGATATTTTTAATTACCTAAATTTGATATTTAAGATAGAATGGCTATTGTCTCAGCAAGCACGTGCAGTCAGTTTCAGTAGCACTCTTTACATCACAGTTGTGATGATATTATAAAATGCTTCAGGTGACTGCTTTGCGTTTGGTTTAGTGTAGTTGTGATCACCAGAGGTTCTAACAGTCATATTCGTGATCTTCTGTGGTGCAGCACGCGCCTCAGATATCTTTTTCTGTGAATAGCAAGCATGTCAGGCTGTACAGATTTGGAAGTTCCAGGTCTTCTTTGAATGAAAGTATAATAATTTTCCTTTGCCATAAAAAAATAAATATCCTCAATATGTATTTTAGAAATTTGTTGTTCAGAAAACCAGATTTGGCCTAACCAAAGCAGAAGATCTGTCTGCTGAAGACATGAAGAAAATCCGCCATCTCTCTCTGATTGAATTGACGGCCTTTTTTGACGCCTTTCGAATTCAGCTGAAAAGAAACAAAACAGAGAAAGTGAAAGGACGAGGTAGGAAGACTTACTACGATTCTAACATTTGACTCACGGGAATCAGACAGTGCTTTGCTGACTCTTTGTTTCTCTCCCTGCTGTTTAACAATGAAGACAGTGGGATTTTTGGAGTTCCCCTCACAGTCCTGCTGGAAAATGACCGAAGGAAAGACTCTGGGGTCAAAGTTCCCCTTGTGTTACAAAAGGTGAGTACGGTGTACGTAACTGTGGAGTTTATAGAGCTCTGTGCTTGTAGCATGCTATTCATAAACCCACTGATGAATATTCTTAGATTTAAAGACACAAAGGCCCCTTTAGGACGCTGGCTTTGGTGACTTTCGGCTTCCCTCCTTGCATCCACATGACATCCAAGGCACCTAGGTGTGTTTGCCTTGCTAAGAACCTCTGAAGTCTTGCATTGTCCAGCCAGAAAGCATCAGGTGATAGACACAGACGCTGTCTCATGGCTTCCTTCTGTTACATTTCTTCCAATGTTTTTTAAATGTTATTTGCGTATATGTATGTGTTTGTGTGTGCATATGTGATTATTCTCTCCTGGATAAAAGATGACTACTAATTACTAACAGTCCATTTATTAATCATACAAGTATTTGCTGAGATATATCACAGGTTGGGTGTTTTACGATGTGTGTGTATTACTGTTTACATGAATTTTCCAGACAACGCTAAATAAAGTCTAGAAATCAGCTTATTCTGGTGGTGTTTTTGGTGTGCCTGGGAAAGTATATGTTGCGACAAAGAAGACTTTTGGTTTAGGAAGTTGTGAAAATGATGTCTGAACAATACAGTTGTCTCAGTGACCCTCACTGGCGGATGGCTTATTTGCTTTTAAGCCCCACCTTTTTTAGCCAACAGTTTATACCGGTTTATTCAACAGGCATATCCAGTGGTACAAGTAAAATTCCAAGCCCTAAATACAAATCTTATTGAATTTTAAATTCAGTTTTTTGGGTTTTTTTTTTTTTTTGACTGTGCCCTGTGGCATGTGGGATCTTAGTTACCTGGCCAGGGATCAAACCTGCACCCTCTGCATTGGAAGCACGAGTCTTAACCACTGGACCTTCAGGGAAGTTCCTTAAATTCAGTTTTTAAATGACATGTGAAAATACTGACAGAGGACACATACTTTATTCACAACAGCAATTCCACATCTCTTTCCTGTCTTCCTCAGTTTGGGTACTGGCACCTCAGACTGAGCTACTCCTCCAGTCGGGTGACTGACTGGCCGCCCACAGGAGCAGGGAGGATAGCAAGTGGGGTCCAGGGGATGCCAAGGACCGCCCCTCGTGTGCATCCACAGGACGCCTCCCTTCACTGGGCCACGTGTGATCTCTTTGTCCTATCACATCTGATCATCACTGAGCCCCAGGAGGTCGGTATGGTCATCTCCTTTCTACTGGTGAGGCAACTGAGGCATCATAGGGTGAGATAACATGACCAAAAACACACAGCCAGCAAGAGAGAGATGCAAAAGGGAGCAAGTCCATGGTGACTCTAAGATTTCCTTTCCGTCCTTGCACTGAATCTATTATGCCCTTTTTCCTCAAGGAAAAGGACGCAGTCTGAAGAAAATGCATAAAAATCTGACTGAGAAGGTTCAACACATGTTTGTATTATTACGTAGGTACAGAAACCTAGCACACAGAAGATGCACAGTATACTGCCTGGGTTAGTCTCATACTAACTCCTTAATAGAGGCTCACTCTGGGTCCTGCTGAGGTTAGTGGTGCTCTTGTAAGACAGCTGGAGGCATTGTTCTTCCACTCCTGGGGGTAGAGGCTTTTCTCATGAAGAAGTCTTTTTTCCCTAAATACTTAAACTTCTCTTCATACCTGCAGGAGCTGCCTTAGTTCCAGGCATCATCATTTCTCGAAGGGAGAATAGCAGAGACTCTGAATCCTGCTCTTGCTGCGTGAACATGGGCAAATCTTTACCCCTTCCATGCCTCAGTCTCTTCAGCTGTAGAATGGGGGCACCATAGAATTATTGTGAGGGTCACGTGCATTAATATATGTAAAGTGCTGAGAATGTTGTCTGACACACCCCAAGTGCACAATCAGTGTAGTGTTTATTATTATTTAATAGTAAAGCATCACCATTACCATGAGACAGATAAGCCTTTATAATTTCTAATTCCTTGGTCAGATTTTGAGAAGCCCTACAGTGTCTTGGGCTTCCCTGGTGGTACAGTGGTAAAGAACCCCCCTGCCAGTGCAGGTTAGATGCAAGAGACACAGGCTCGATCCCTGGGTCAGGAAGATCCCCTGGAGAAGGAAATGATAGCCCATTCCAGTGTTACTGCCTGGGAAAATTCCCTGGACAGGGGTTGCAAAGAGTTGGACACAACTGAGCCTGCATGCATGCACAGTGTCTTAGCTAGAATAGTATGATAGTAATTCAGGGTCTTTTCTTACTGGTTGGTGATGCCGACTCGATGGACATGAGTTTGAGCAAGCTCTGGGAGTTGGTGATGGACAGGGAATCCTGCTGTGGTGCAGTCCATAGGGTCACAAAGAGTCAGACACGACTGAGCAACTGAGCTGGCTTACTGGTTGACCTGTAGAAAGATAACAGTAATCAGATGTTAAAATATTTAAGGGGCAGTGTGCTTCCGTGGTTAAGAGCAGAGTTGGTGCCGTCACTTTTGAGGATGACCCTGGGAAAGTGATAAAGTACCCTAAGCCTCTATTTCCTCATTTGCCAATCAGAGGCTAGTGTTGACCTCCTAGGAGAGTGTGAATGTTTAACTAGGCATTCAAGTTCCTGGCATGTCTGTATGCTTGGTAATGTATTGTTTTCATCATCGTTGTTATTTTAAATGCTCATAATCATATGGAGGTATTTATTTCTGTCTTGTATCATTGCTTTCTAGTTCTTTGAGAAAGTTGAGGAATCGGGTCTGGAATCCGAAGGGATCTTTCGACTTTCAGGATGTACTGCCAAAGTCAAGGTACCAAACATTGTCTCTCTTCTTCATTAGAGATCTCAACGAGCTAGATCAGCTCACACAGGCATCATGTGTGGTGTTGTCATAATTTCTGATTCCATTACTTGGTGCTGTAGAGCGTTCCTCAACACCTATGACTAAGTGTTATTCCATGATCCTGAGTTTTGCATTCTTTTAAATTAAAACAACAACAATAAAAAGCGAACAATGAAAGAACACATCAATTCACTCTCAAAAACCGCCGCTTGTCTTGTCCCATCATTATTTTGGGGGTTAAACCCTTCAGTTTTTTTGTGTTACTCTCCATCATAGAATCCACTGAGCCAATATTAGATGACCCCTGGTATCTATTGTCAGTTGTTTTAAACTTAGAAACATTCTCTGGCTTTCCTTTTAATGGACATCCTTATAGGAATTTGTAGGAATGGCTGTAACCACTAAAATACTCCCTCAGCAGTTCTGAAACCCAGTTCCATTTAAGGTAATGTTAGCGTCTACATCTAAAACCACTGTGCGGTGGGAATTCCTCTACTTTCTTCTCCCTGTATGGAGGCTAAGTCTTCAGTTCAGCAAAGAAAAGAATTAAAGGAAAGCTTTGCTCATCTGTTTCCAGTAAGACATCCCACTTGCTCTGCCGGTGCACAGATGAAGAGTCCCTCTCTGCCCTGAGTCACCCCCTGGTGGGTGGACCTGGAGACATGAGCAGCTATCAATAATGAATCCTTGAGGAAAAAAAACCTCAGGGAGAGGGAAAATGGAACTTGACTGTGTTCAGAACTATTAAAAGGAATTGTGTAGGGGCGGGAAAGCATCTCTTCCCTAATTCATTTTGGCATATGCTTTGGGAGATTCTATTTGTATCAGAAATCTCAGTCTTATATAGAAGTATGACGAGATATTTTTCAAGGTGGAAACTGAGAATAAATAGGCTGTATCTATTGGAAGCTCCAGAAGGCAGGTGCTGGGACCAAGTCAGGAGGAAAAGAGGGTTACAGGGGGACCTCGCTTCTCAAGGATCGAGGGTTGGGGGAGGCGCATTTGGGGGTGTCAAGCCTCAGATAGGTGCAGGTGGGACCATCAGCCTGTGCCCTCTCAGCCCTCACCCCGGGGAAGGGCCTGAGGCTGAGCAGAAGGTGCCAGCAGCTGGGGAGTCAACCGCCTGGAGTGTTTGCAGATGAACAGCCAGTTCTGTTTTGAAGGGAGACCTGAGTGGTGGTCCACACTTTATCACTGCATGTCTCTGGGGCCCTTGACTTCCTTGGAAGTAGAGATTACTAAATCCTGGCACAGGTTCACTTGGAAGGCAGGAAAATTCCTAATGGCTTCTTAAGGTTAATACTTGCTAAATGGGATCTGGTTTTTGTTTCAGGTTCTCACAGGAACAGTTCTTACATATACTTCTAAATAAATGTGTCCTAAATCCGAGAACAAAAGCTATCACTTTTTGGTTAAGTCTTTGTGGTTATATCTGTAGAGTCAGAAAACCAAAATGAAGTCAGGAGAACAAGTTTCCTAAACTGAATCAGACTCCATCCCTCTAAACCTCCTTCCATAATAGGGAAGCTGTATTTGTACATGTCCTTACTGACTCTTATTCTGTGAGTGTGTGCGTGTGTGTGTGCACGCATTAGTAGGGAAGAGTGGGAGCATAATGGATATGGTTTAAAATTCTATTTTTGAAAATAATTCAAAGGAGGAAACATTACACATCGTTTCTTGTGTGTATGAAGTTTAACATCATAGCACACGTTGCCTTTCTCTAGCTAATCTTTAACTGAAAAGCACTTATCAAAGGCCAGTAATTCCTTTAACGTGCTCTAATAGATGCATGCATTCCTAAACCACATTAGGTAAAAGTCCCTTTTGGCCCTTAATCGGTTTTATGTAGTTTCAGCCTATTTATTCCATTTCTTGTCCGTCTGAAAAATGTATTCCAGATGTTTTCTTGGTTTGAGCTCCAGGAAAGCCAGTGTGGAAGAACTCTGGGTCAGTGAACAGAAACAAGGGAATATTGCAGTTAGAAAGGCATTGCAACTTGATATAGCCAAGGGGTCTTTATTTCTTCCCTTTGTTCAAACTTGAAACTTAAAAAAATGTTTTCATCGGTTAGACTACTTTTTTCTAGAAATGTGCTTGGGGAAAGAAAGTTAGAAAAAAAAAACCTCCCTCATAATTACCGTCAAGTCGTGCCAAGTAGCTGACTCTAACCCTCAGGTATCACTGTGGGTTGTACTTTCAGAGCCTGGTTAGACTCACAGGGAAGCATCCCTGGGGGATGCTGCGGGATTAGCCTCGCAGGGCACCAACCGCTGAGCCCATCCTGGACGTGAGGCCTCGGGTCATTTGGAACCAATTTAATGGCTCGGTGTTTCCAGTAATTTTCTCTTCCACAAATGACAGAAATTTGAGCCAACACCAGGGAATATATTTTATGGAAGAAAGCAGACTGCTTTGACGTGCGCAGCTTTCTTTTTTTGACTCGTTTCAATTATTCAGAGGCTGCTCTAAATGTTTTGTGAGGATGTTACCTGTTCTGCTGGTTTCCTGCCCTGAACTGGTTTTTTGAGGCTGAAGGTGGGTTATTTGCATTTTTGTAAAATTACCTCAGGAGGAGAAGCGGGTTGGAGATTTGCTCAGACGAGGTTTAAGGACCTGGCTCCTGATCCGTGCCTAGTGTCCTCATTAACAGTTTAAACATCCACACGTCTCTGGTGAGGAAGAGTCAGCCCCTGGTCCATCCGGCCCCTTGTTTAGGATGCCGTGGAGTTCTGCAGCAGCTTCCGCTGTGCTCTGCTCCAAACTCAGGGAGGGCATCCTTCCCCTCTTTTTTGTTGGCCCTCTCGACAGAGCGAGGTGCTCTTATTCCCCGAATAGCACTCCACATACACACAGGTTTCCCGTAGTAATAACACTAGAGGTTGTAGCAGAGACGAGGAAGGGTAAATGCAGCTAGCACTTACTGAGCGCCCTCTGTATGCATGCCCCGCCCACGAGTTCTTTCTGTGTTCTCCAGTTTAATCTCTGCGAGGCTGTTTTAATATCCCTGTTATGCAGTGGGAAACTTCACAGGCCTTCAACTAGACCATTGTGGAACTGGGCTAAACACCTAAAGAATGTGGTTATACCTTAAAAATGCATTCCAGTATATAGTAGGTGCAGACAAATGCTGCTCTATTCCACTTACATGAGGTACCTAGAAGAGTCAGATTCCTAGAGTCAGAAAGTACCTTGGTAGATGCTGGAGTTGGGGGGAGGGACTGTTGGAAGATGGGGCAGGGAGCGGGCGCTGTAGTGTTTACTGGGGGCAGAGTTTCAGTTTAGGAAGGTGAAATGTTAGGGAGATGGATGATGGTGAGAGTTGCACAGCGATGTGAATACACTTAGTGCCACAGAACTGCACAGTTAAACGTGGCTAAAATAGTGTGTTTTATATTCTGTGACTTTTACCACAGTAAAAAACAAAAAAAAATTTTTTAATGAGTGTGGTCCTAGAGCCTGCCCTTGATCCTGGGGCTACGTTTCCCCATAGGTGACAGGGAAGCGCTGGTAGGTTTCAACGACAGTCACCCAGTGTTTCAGCCAGCCTCCTGTGGCACGGGTCTATGGAAATGGATCTGAATTATCCTGCTCTTGCCCGTGCTTCCTGAAAACCAGTTTCCCCTTGGCTTTAGGGCAGTGGTACAGGCAGCAGGAGAGGGAAACGTTGGCTCCTCTCCCTCCGCTTCTTGTCAACAGCACCGCCTTCTGCCCATTATCCCAGCCCGCAATCTGCGAGCCATCCTGGACTTTTATTTCTCCCTCTGAGTCTCATATTCAACCCATCGCCGCTTCTTGAGCATTTTCCTTCCTGGTCGTTTCTTAAATGCCACCTCTTCTTTCTGTCCTGCAACTGCACACCCAGGTTAGTCGTCGATTATCTGTCACCAGAAATGCCAGTGATTGCTTTCCATTTCCCCAGCCTGATCCCCATCAGTGCTGAGCCCCTCACTCACACCCCCCCACCCCAGATCACTTTTCCACCCGGCCATCAGAGAAGATAAATCTCACCTTGTCGTCCTCTGGCTTCTCTTGCATGTTAACGGCTGGAAGACTTAGGCTTCTCGTGAGAATAAAGCAAAGGCCTTAAGGATTTTTCACTTTTTTTTTTAAGCATCCTTTTTGAAGCAGTTATTGTCAGTTGGAGAATTGAGTATAATTGCCTGGTGTTATTGGTAAACTCTGTAGTTCAGGGAGCAGTAGAATGCCAGAGAGGGGGAAGGGTACTGGCCATCAAATGAGTTAATAATCTAAAATGGATAACCCAAATCAACATAAGGACATTTAGTGATTCTTTAAAAAAGTATTAACACAGTGTTCCAAACCTTACGAAGGACTGGGCAAGCACACAGGCACGTGGAAGACATGTGTCCATCTTGGCATAAAACTTCTGTATTTGCTCCAGGAAGATGTCATGGGTATGCATGTTGCAGTGAGGTCAGAGTTTCTATGCTGGGTTAGTTTTCATTTTGTATGTAAACCAGCCAAGAGGCATACATCCTTCATTGAATTTAGAAATATTAATACAAGATGAGGTGGCAGAAGGAAGGAATCATTGGGGGGAAAAAAGGAAATAGAGGCTCTGTCAAAATCTAGCAGTGCATTTATCATGTGGGGATGGACAGTATTCTGCCAAAAGGATATAAATGAAGCTGTGATCTGAGTAAAGAACTTTTGTATTTGTACAGATGGCAAATTACTTTAAGATTTGCATTATTCTAAAAGGATTTTAGAGAATGTTTTTTTAAAAATACATTCAGAAACAGCTATTTCAGTTCTTCAATAGTGTTGAAAATGAGGAACTTAGTAGATACTGGCATTTCAATCTAATTACAAAAATAATTTGTGTAATGACAGTTTTTAAAGGGGAAGAGGGAAATCAGGTAGTAAACTCACTGTTTTCCTTGATTTTCAGCAATACCGTGAAGAACTGGATGCCAAGTTTAATGCTGACAAGTTTAAGTGGGAGAAAATGTGCCATAGAGAAGCTGCAGTTATGCTGAAAGCCTTTTTCAGAGAATTGCCGACCTCTCTCTTTCCTGTGGAATATATACCTGCCTTCATCACTCTAATGGAAAGTAGGTGGAAGAAGTTACATGTGAATGGATAAGATACAAGGTCAATGAAGTAGCACAGAGGAGAATAAAGATGCATAGTCAGATGTGATCATAAGTGTATACATTTGCTGTTTCCTGGTAATGCTTGGAAGTATTGAGTTTGATGGTAAACTGTCATCTCTTTGCATGTTTATATTTAAAGTCTGGTCATTAGGATTTAGAGGGTTTTATAATGGTGGCTCAGATGATAAAGAATCTGCCTGCAATGGAGGAGACCCTGGTTTGATCCCTGGGTCAGGAAGATCCCCTGAAGAAGGGAATGGCCACCCTCTCCAGTATTCTTCCCTGGAGAATTTCATGGACAGAGGAGCCTGATGGGCTACAGTCCATGGGATTGCAAAGAGTTGGACATGACTGAGTGACTAATACTTTCATCTTGTCATTTTTCATAATTATTAAAAGGCAGAGAGGGTTGCAGAAGAACCAAGGTCTTGAGATATGAATTCCTGCTCAAACATCTGTTAACCATGCAGTCAGCCTTTCTGAGCTTTATGGCTGCCCCTATAAATTACTGATAATAACTACTTGTCAGGGTTGTTGTGAATATTGAATGAAGACATCTGAGATAGTGCCTGGTATATAATAGGCCTTCAAAAAATATAAGATCTCTCCCTTCTTTATATCCAACATCCTGGATCTGATGATGTAGCATGAAACAAGAAAGAGTTTTATCTCTAAAAATTACTATATCGCATAGTGTTTCTTAGCTGAGATGCATGTGTGCATGCATGCTAAGTTGCTTCAGTTGTGTCCAACTCTTTGCGACCCCATTGCAACCCCATGGACTGTAGCCCAACAGGCTCCCCTGTCCATGAAATTTCCCAGACAAAAATACTAGAGTGGGCTGCTGTGCCCTCCTCTAGAGGATCTTCCTGACCCAGGGATCTGAACCTGTGTCTCTTAGGTCTCCTGCATTGGCAAGTGGGTTCTTTACCATTAGCACCACCTGGGAAGCCCTTAGCTGAGGTACTTGGGTAAAAATGTATAGAAACTGGACAGCATGTGTTGTATTTGGCAGTAAGAAAGGAATTTCATCCTAAGGGTTGAATATTCAAGGAGGTGTGATGAGAGAAATTTAGAAAAGTGGAAAGGGGTTACATAGTGTGGGCTTTGACTACCAACTGAGGAATTCAGGGTTCACAGCCTACATATGTATAAGCGTGCTAAGTAAATGGTGGTTCTGTATGGACAGAAAGAGACTGTGGCCAGATTGAGAAAATATATCCATATAAAGGGGTTGGCCACTGCTCAGTTCTAGAAGAGGTTACCATGCAGGAGTGAAAGCCAAAATCCAGGCTTTAATGATGAAAAGTCTTATTAATAATTTGAAAATGTGAGCCAAAAATTGAAATTTTAAAACACTACATCAGTGTAACAAGTATTATCGGTATCTGCCAGTTTACAACCTTCTGCAGGTTGGCCAGACCATCAAATCCTTAAAACCACAATGAGAGAAAATAATAACACCATCCTAAGTTTTTTGACAAAACTCGTCCTGAAAATTAGTTGGTTCTCAATCTTTAAAATGTTTAACTAAATCAGATTCATAAAACAATCCTTATGTCTTCAGAGAAGAGACTATGATTAGAGTCTTTTCTAAGCTTTAATTGACATGCTGTGACCAGTGTCTCTGTTCTTTGCAAGACGTAGCATTTTTGTTTTACGACAGAAAGAGAACTATTTCTCTTATTCTTTTTTTTTTTTTTTAATTTCAGAGATTGTATTGAGTTGGCCAAAAAGTGAATTCAGGTTTTATCCATAACATGTTATGGAAAATCTGAACAAAGTTTTTGACCAACCCAATATATTCCCAGTTCTAGAATTTCCAGTGACTACTTTATACCTGTTTTCTATTTACTGACCTTGCCTATCTTTTCATTCATTATAAGTATATTTTCTTTCATATCCTTGAGCATAGTTATTAATATGACTACTTTATAACTAGTTCTATCAGTATGATAGCTACTTCATAACTAGGTTTAACATCTGAGTCATCTGAGGGTTGGTCTCTGTTCATTGTCTCTTCTCTTGAAAATGGGCCATTGTTTATGTCAAGTAACTTTAAACTGTATCTGTAACATTGTGGCTTTTTTTTGGAGACCCTGTACTCTGTAATATTTCTCCAGAGAGTGGGGTTTTGGGGTTGGTTTTGCTTTTTGTTTGTATTTAAGCAGAGAGTTTGTTATTTAATCCTTACCTGTGCTACTCCACATATGCATGATTTATGGGGTGAGCCAAGATTTGGGTGGATTTTAAACCAGAATCAGGTCCTTCTACCTCTTGACCTTTCTGGGATTCCCCATAACTCCCCAGTGCCTGTGGTCATCCTGAACCCCGCCCTCTTATTGTTCAGGCCAGAAAGACTGGGGCTTTCTTTCGGGATTTTAGCCACCTCATGCCATGTTCTCTATGGCCTGACTTCAGACTAATAGCCAGACAATTGGACACTCTCCCTGCGCTGTTCCCTAATTCTAAGTGTCCAGTCCTATCCTGAATCTCCCTGCTTTTGTTCATCCTCCACTGCCTTGTGTGGCTGCTTTTTGTACTTTGCCCAGAGTTTATAGTTATCTTAAGGAGAGTTGATTGGCAAGGAGCTTACTCAGCCATGGCAGAAGCAGAACCTCTTTATTTGTAAGTCAGAAACACAGGAGCTTCTGTAAAGTTTGCTGTCCTGGAAAATGGGCTGCAGAAATCTTAGCTTCACCTTGATCTGCAGCTTATATACTAAACAGTTCATCAACACAAATGGTGCCACAGAGGGATTTTTTGTTCTATTTTTTTTTTTTCTTTTGGTCTCAGGAAATTATACAAGAAGGAATCAATCTCCCATGTAAGACCTGTTCAGAGAATCATGTTTAAGAAGGAAATCATATATAGTTTTTCTTCGTACTTCTATTCAGATGTTGAAGCCAGTGTGCTTCAGGGAAGGGAGAGAATCTGGAAAAGATCCTGAGAGGGTTCACGGGAGGGTCCAGGTTTCTCTGTGTGACTTTGAAAGTGGAAAATACTGGATCGCAGTGATTAATTTGATACCAGCCAACCCTGCAGGAAACCCAGAGTTCTGGGCTGTGACCAGCAGGGAAAATGGCCTTTTTCCCACCTGGGGTAAGCTCTAGTTTTAATGGGATTTCTGAAGGGAAAAACAATGGACATCTGTGTGTTTAAGCCACCCCTAGTTTTACTCTAAAATATAGTCTTTTCCACTTTGTAATTTCTCTTTTCAAACTTGGTCCAAAAATTGCCCATAAAATTAGAAGACTAATAATTGATCAATCAAACCTTAGATACTTTCATGAAAACTTTAATAACTTTCTGGGAAAATAATGACCCCAGGGCAGGCGGGAAAAAAAGACTCAACTAGGATGCCATAAATGAATTAACTGCAAAACGGTTAACCACACAACAGTGCAGGGCCAGCTTTCCTAAGGGAAATGAAAATGGATTATTTGCCAGTTTAGATTTTTAATCTTAAAGGGTATTTCATAATTTATCTGGAATGGAAATACAGAGCCTGCATCTGCATCTATTGTTTTCCCCCAGAGGTTTTCTGGGTTGCATTAGAAAATTATAGACAGCCCATAGCCTGCAAGATATGCATTAAAATCATGTCTTCTCTGTCCCCAAACATTTATACTGAGACATGCTCCCGATGGTGCCTGTGATTCAGACAAACTCACGTCAGCATGCATTAGCCATTTTTAAAAACAACCTGGACCTGTGTCATTTTTGTTTACAAATCTGACATAAATTTTTAAAAATCCACATGAGGATTTGCTGGGCAATATGACATGAGCCTATAAATACTCCTGCCAACTGTTCCTTCATTTAGTGGTTACTCACATCAGTCATCCACTCCTAACTTGGGTGCCCATGACCTCCTGTGATCTAGGAACTTGTCACAAGAGTGTTTCCACTACTGAAAAGCCAAGTAACTGTAGGCGGCCGACTGCCTTTATCCACTGAGCCGTAAATTGATAGATTTTCCTGCAACTTGAGAGCTCCCCAGGGATTACAGAACTGCACGCTTCCCTCCAGGGCCTCCCCACCAAAGAGACCACTCGGGGAGAAAACAGAAAGAACTGGGCAAAGCCGGATGCTCCAGCTTACCCTCCGTTTTCAGCTCAGCCAGTTGTGGATTATCCCGTTGTTGGATGGATTTTCCTGAAATCCTTTCCCCAAAACGGGGAAAGAGCCAGTATTGAGAGCACACAGGAGTAGGATGCCAACCCTCTGGCGACACCTTCTGTCACTGCCGAGGAATAAAATAGTCAAGAATGTCCAGAGATCCAGCTGTGGTTCCCTTCCATTGTGGCTCAGCTGGTAAAGAATCTGCCCGCAATGCGGGAGACCTGGGTTCAATCCCTGGGTTGGGACGATCCCCGGGAGAAGGGAAAGACTACCCACTCCAGTATTCTGGCCTGGAGAATTCTGTGGGCTGTATAGTCCATGGGTTCGCAAAGAGTCAGACACGACTGAGCGACTTTCACTTCACTTTCCATCCACATCCCTTTAAGATCTGAAGTCAGTGTCAGCGATCATAATGACACCTGCAGAGGTAACTAAGTGCAGTCTCTGATGTAAACACTCTAGCATTAACTCATTTAACCTTGGTAAGGGCCAAGTGAGGTAGGAATGATGCCAACCCCATTTTACAGGTGATAAGAGAAGCATAGGGGTTGGATACCTTGCCCAAGGCCACTCAGGACTTAGTAGTCGATGCAGAGTTTGAATCTGATTCTAGAATCTGTCTTCCTAATAACTGTGCCTGGCTGCCTCATTATGTGGAAAGATTTATTTTCTCTCGAATCGAGCTTTAAGCCACCTGTTTATAGCATCAAAGTAAAAGCAAGGTGTGTGCAAGTGCTTTGAAAAGGGAAGTGTCGCACTGATCCAGAATTATTTTGAGGGTCTCATTGGCCACCTGCCCCACACTGGCATTCTTGGATGCTAAAAGGGAGTTGATAGAGCCCATCTCCTGTCCAAGTGAACAGACTCACATTCTTGGTCACGAAACCCAAGTCTTTCCCACTGAAAGCTGTCAGGCCCCTCCTGTGCGCCCAGGTGTCAGTTAGCAAGAGAGCTGTCAGGATGCATTAGCGTTATTCAACACGTGGTGCTTATTTCTGTTTTCTTGTCAGGAGGGCCTCACATCCGAGTACAGTTTCAAGCCTTACACCTCATGGTCATGGCACTGCCTGATGCCAACAGGGACACAGCCCAGGTAGGTTGTATCAACCTCACGGTCTGCCATCAACTCTTACTGGTCAGAAGAAATGGCCCAGGTGGAAAAATGAAAACTGTGTGTATGTTAACGTATACTGTACAGAGTTCAAACTTGGAAAACCAAAGAGCATCTCCTTTTAGGAGTTCAACCTTCTTAGTGAATTTCAGAAAGTTCTGATAGGCATTTATGCGTTGGTGGCCCAGCCAAACTTTTATCAACCAGTCGAGCCTGCAGCAAGCCTTTTGCCTTTCCTGACACCCATTCCTGTTCTCCGGAGGAAGCCAGGAAAGAATGTGAGTCCCAGAATCTTCTTTGAACATTTCCGTTTCATTCATTCATTCAATCTATCAAGAGAAACTGTGTGTCTGTGACGTGCCAGGCATGGGGGCTAGGGTTAGGAGTAGGAAGAAGCCAAGATGGAAGGCTTAAATGGAATAACATCAGAAGTAAATGAAATCCTGATTTAAATGAAGTTTCTAGAATGTTCATGTCTTAACCATAATTCAGTTTAAAGAATGATAGAATCCGATTTTTAGAGATCTCCTGATTGGACCGTGTCCTTTTCCAGATTAAGAAAATTAAGCTGAGAAAAAGTTATTTCTTCTTTATTAGAACATTTCATAGAATTATATTCCATAGGTCTCCATCCAAAATATTCCTCCTTTTCTTTCAGATTCATTTCTTTATGTTTGCAAAGATCAGGGTCTCTGTTGCTGTTTTGATCTTGATAGATTCTGCATGCAGTAGGAAATCGGTTATAAGTATAGCAGGTGCTCAGGCTCTTTTAAGTGAATTGGGGTGAGGATGAATTGGAAAGAGCCCGTCATTTGGGGGCCAGTAAACACGATCCTGAAAACAAAGCTGATCCTTCGCGCTGCCTCCTGTCAGACATTTCAGCTTGGTGAGGACCTTTTCTCCTCTCTGGTGAAACCATCTGCCAATTGTATTACATCCTCCACCCAAGACGAGGAATAGGCAGAGGCATACAAATGTCTGTTTCTAGGACAATTTGGTAATTTTCCAAAAGCTGGAAATTTAGTAGCTTTGTTTTCTTTCCTTTTTCTGAACAATTTTTTTTCTATCCAAAAAAATTAATTTGGTATCAGATATCTGGGTCAAAATGTCATCTCCCCTTTCATATCACCAAGGATGTAGCAATGACTGAAGAATTTAGCCCATTTCTAATAGAACTTCCTCTTCACTCTGTCTCTCTTCCACTGTAAATTGTGACTGGAATGAAGATGAAGCTAGTGCGTTGTGCAAATCAAGAGCTCTGGCTGAGGAGTTAGGCTGCTTTGGGCAAATCCTGACTCTGCCATTTACTTATGTAACACTGGACATAGCTACTCAGTCCCTCCCCACCTTACTTTCCTTAACTGTAAAACAATATTAATATTAAATAATAGTACCTACCTCCCAGGGTTTGGGGTGATGATGAAATGAGTGGATGTATGTAAAGTACTAAAAATAATACCTGGCTCTCAGTTAACCCACAAATAAACAGTAGCTGTGATCACTAGTATGTGCGTATATTACATGTACTGTACAGAATTCAAACTTGGAAAACCGAAGAGCATCTCCTTTTAGGATTTCAACCCTCTTGGTGAATTTCAGAAAGTTCTGGTAGGCTGTTATACGTTGGTGGCCAAGCCAAACTTTTATCAAGCTTTCTTTTTTTTCAATGGTGAGAGCAACTGCATATAAACATTTCCCGTCGGTCTGCTGAACACTCCAAAATTGAAAAGCAGCAGAAAAATGGCACCCCCGAAATAAAAGTTTTCTGCTTTTTGACTGACATATTTGTGAACTGAGAAATTAGATACTCATTTTTTCATTGCTATTCTTTAAATTGTTTTCTTTTTATAATCACTTTGTTTTTAAATTTTTTATTGAGTTATTGACATACAATCCTCTGGAGAAGGGATAGGCTCCCCACTCCAGTATTCTTGGGCTTCCCTGGTGACTTAAATGGTAAAGAGTCCGCCTGCCATGCAGGAGACGTGGGTTCCATCCCTGGGGTGGGAAGATCCTTTGGAGAAGGAAAGAGCTATCCACTCCAGTGTTCTGGCCTGGAGAATCTATACAGTCTGGACCCCTATACAGTCCATGGGTTTGCATAGAGTTAGACACGACTGAGTGACTTTCACTTTTGACATATAACATATTGATTTCAAATATATAGCATGATGTTTTGATATTAGTGTACACTGCAAAGCAATCACCATAGTAAGTTTTGTTATTTTCCATCACCGTTACAGAAAATCTTTTTTTCTTGAGAGGACTATTAAGACTTACTCTCTTAGTAATTTTCAAATATGCAATACAATATTATTGACTATCGTCATCATGCTATGTGCCATGTCCCCATAACTTATTTACATCACAACTTATTTATTTTAAAGCTCAGTTTTTAAAATGTGTTTTTCTTTCCCAAGGAAACAGAAAGTAATTTTTAACAATATTGCCTTAAATTAAGAGTGAGTTACTTTTCCTCCTTCACAACAAAACTACATTTCATGTTTATTTGAGCTGTAGTGTTTTTTCTCCCATGTTTATTGTTTAATTTTAATATCTGTCAAACTTGCTTAAGATAAAAGAAAATAAGAAAACACAAGCTATTATTTATAGAGATCCCAATATGAAAAATTCCATTAAAAAATGGAGCTACTTTTATGAAGCAGAGAAATGAATAAATCCTTCACATTTCTCATTCACACTTTCAAGCAATTAAAGAAGAAACATGACACATTTAGCCTTTCTGTAGTTCTGACCATTTTCCAGAGGCCTGGTGAATGGGTACAGAAATGCATGACAGTAATCAGCAATGCCTTTTTATGATTTACAACTAGTGTGACACCGTGCTGTTTCTTATTAGGCCCTCATGACATTCTTCAATAAAGTTACTGCCAACGAATCAAAAAACCGCATGAGTATATGGAACATCTCTACCATCATGGCACCAAACCTCTTCTTCAGTAGAAGCAAGCATTCTGACTGTGAAGAATTACTCTTGGCAAACACGGCTGCCCACATCATCCGTCTGATGCTCAAGTACCAGGAGATGTTGTGGACGGTGAGTACCAGTGTGATGACCTGGATGTTCCTCTTGTATCCACCGCATCCAGGAAACATAAAGGCTGGTGAGCGAGCAGTGCCCTCAGTCACAGGGGGAGATGGGAGACATGATCCCGGGTTCCTGGTGGCGTCTTTCGCATTCCACAGGGCTGCTCGCTCGCAAACATATTTCCCTTTAAACAGGAATCCTAATAGATTTTCCTAATCTTTACGAGGACAGAACCACAGTTCCTGGTTCCTGGATACTGAGTGGCCAGAAGGAGCAAACATAACTGAAGACAGACTCTACCAGGGAGGGTCAACCCACATGTTGCCCTTCTCTTCAAGCCCTGTTTCTTCTCCAGGTTCCATCTTTCTTAATCGCTCAAGTCAGAAGAATGAATGAAGCCACCATGTTGTTAAAGAAGCCGCTCCCAAGTGTCAAAAAGCTGCTAAGGAGGAAGACCATAGAACGAGGGGTAATGAGACAATAAATAAATGCACAAATATCATGACCACCCAGGCTCTTATGTCTCAAAGTGATGCACAAAGCAGCTTGTAATTTAGAAGCAGAATTGTTATATTCTCACAAAGTGTCACTCTTGTGACTGTAAACACTGGAAATTGTTTTCATGACGGAGTGCTGTGGTATTTCCATTCTGTTGAATTAGGTGCTTTTTGCTTGAAGTTTTTGAATTCTGTCTATCATCATGAGAGATAATTCATTAATATTAATAAAGATAATTCTGTTAATATTCTCTCAAGTACTTAAGGGCAAATGGTTCTTACAGATGCTGAGAGTCAACATTTTAATCCCTGTGAACTGGATTTAAGGGTGGTCCAGCTGTCAGTGTATCTAATAGCTAGAGACTGAGATTTCCGTGGTGATTGGATGCTGAAAGGATATCTAATCCTCAAGTCATTTAGTGTAAATTTGTTGCACTTCAAAGAATTTTTGCCTTAGCACAGTTGTTTGTGTGGATATGCATAATGGGAACAGGTTTTAGAAGAATTATCTTTACTGCTTTAAAGATCTCTGAGGACGATCGCAAGTGTCAGGCATAGCATTTGGCCTTGAGGAGGATGCAGAGGTACCCGAAACTCACTTTGTCCTTAAAGGAATGTGTATCCAGTAGAGAGATAATCTGATAGAGAAGTATACACAAGAGCCGTGAATATGTATTCCATGTCAGGCGTGTTGTGCAGACAGCGGGCTGGGGCTCACATAGAGGAGAAAGAAGTGTGTCCAATGTGGAGCGTGTGGAGGCTTCATGGAGAAAGTGGCGTTTGAACTGCACCTTGAAGGATGGATAGCATTCTAAAGGGAGCAAGGAAAGGAGAGTTCATTCAAGGAAAGAAATAGTGAATCCCGAGGCAGTAAGGTAGAGGTATTGCAAATTGATCTATCACAGTCAGCATGGATGGCTGCATTCCCTCACTATGTACAGGCAAAGTGATTTCAGATGAAGTATAACCAACATACTAAATCTGGGGAAAATTTTTTGTTTTAATTGAGAAAAAATTCACATAATATAAAATTTGCTATTTTAACTATTTCAAAATGTGTAATTTTTAGTATCTATTTCTCGTATAATTTGCAGTGTTGTGCAACATCACCACTATCTAATTTCAGAATATCTTTACCATCCCCAAAAGAAACCCCATACCAGTTAGGCATTCATTCCTCACTACTCCCCTCCCCACGATCCCTGACAAACTCTCATCTACTTTCTATCTCTATGAATTTATCTACCTGGACATTTCATGTAACTGGAATCATATAGTATGTGGCCTGTTGTGTACGCGATTTCTGTCACTTAGCATAATGATTTCAAGGTTAGCATGTATCACTATTTCACTTTTTTTGTTTGTTTTGCGTTTCTCTTGGGTATCTATTGGGTCATATGGCAACTCTCTGTTCAGTTGCAAGTACTTTGTTGAAGATTTTTGCAGCAACTTTTATAAGGGATATTGGCCTTTAGTTTTTTGTTCTTGTTATATCTTTGTCTGGATTTGGAATTAGGAAATAATAGCCTTACAGAATAAGTTAGAAAGTGGTTCCTCCTTCTATTTTTTGGAAGAGTTTGAGAAAGATTAGTGTTATTTCTTTAAACGTTGTAAAATTCACCAGTGAAGTCACCTGGTCCTGGACTTTTCTCTGTAAGAATTTTTTTTTATTACTAACTTAAGTTCTTGTTATAGCTCCATTCAAGATTTTCTGTTTCTTTTTGAGTCAGTATTGATAGTCACTGTGTTTTTAGGACTTTATATCATCTAAGTTAACTAATTTGTTGAAATACGAATTGTTCATATTAAATTTATTATAATCTTTTTTATTTCTGTAAGGTTTGTATTAATGTTCCCTCTCATACTCTTGATTAATAATTTGAATCTTCGCTTTTTTTCTTCGTGAATCTAGCCAAAAAGGTTTGTCAATTTCTTTGGTCTTTTTGAAGAGCCAACTTTTGTTTCATTGATTTTCTCTATTTTTTGCTTTTCTCTAGCCCTTATTAAAACTCAGATCTTTATTTTTTTCCTTCTTTATGCTTATTTTGAGTTTGGCTGGCTTTTTTTAGTTTCATAAGATGGAAAGTTAGGCAACTAATTTGAGGTCTTTTTTTAAAGTAAGCATTTACTTCTGTAAATTTTCCTCAGTACTTTTTCTCCATCCTGTAAGTTTTGGTGTACTGTTTTGTTATTGTTCATTTCAAGTTATTTTCTAATTTCCCTTTGACCCATTGGTTATTTAGGCATAAATTTTCTAAATTTCCTTTTGTTATTGATTTCTAATTTTATTCCATGGTGGCTATGTAGCATATGTTGTATTATTTTGATATTTTAAACTTGACTGAGACCTGTTTTGTGGTCTAACATACTGTCTATCCTGGATAGTGTTTTATATGTACTTAAGAATGGATTCTGCTGTCACTGTCCTACAGATGTCTCTTAGATCAACTTCACATTCTCCCCGCCCCCCCCGGGGGTTGCTGTTTGTTATAGCTGTTATATGTTTGTTAATGACTTTTCTGCTGAACAGATTTTCTTATGTCTCTATTCTTTGTTTTGTGTGGCTACTGAAGTCTCTGTTGCAGCAAAACCTGGCGGTTTGCTGGTGTTTGCACAGAGATTTTCTTAGATACCTGGAGCCAAAAATATCTCCCAGGCTTTGCAGATGAGCTCTGTGTTTGGGTGCTTGACACACCTTCAGCATTCAGCCAGGCAGCTTACAACTTGGCCTGAACTTTACTTCCTGTTTGGACAGAGCTTAAAGGTCAGCCAGAGGTGAGCACTTAGGTTCTTTTCAGGTGTTTCCTGAATCTGTGCACAGCCCTGAGCATGCACATGACCTTCTAGGTTCTCAGCAATATGTTGGAGCTTTTCAAAGACCTTACTCCCCAAAGCATCTAGTTCTCTAGGCTTGCCTCCTAAGATTTTTAGTTAGTTTATGTTTTCCCCTGCTTTTATGCACTGCATCAGGCAGCAGTGATTAAAACATTTGCCTATAAATGTTTTCAACATTACACCACTTTAGCACTGGTCAGGTTCCAAGTCAGACAAGATAAAGGCCAGCCAGTCTTCCAGGGAACAAATAACTAGAATTCCTTGTAAATGAGGTCCCTTCCACCCCCTTCAGTACCTGCACCAGGAATGCAGGCGGTTATTTTCAAGGCTGTCACTGAGCTGTGGAGCAGAGATGGGAAAGTGTAAGCTAAAATGCCACGAAGTTCACCGTTCTTATCAAGACTCAGTTTTTCCTACTTAAGCACTCCCCTGGTTGCCTCTCTGGGGTTAGTTTCTGGAGTTCTGAAGAAGTTGACAGTGACAGGTTTTTCCAGTTTGTTCATTGCTTTTATGGAGAGACAGACTTCTAGATTTCTTCCTCTTTGCCATTTTCATTCTGGAAAATTTTAATGGTGTTAGTATGATGTGTTTGGAGCTGAATCTGAGGTCAGGTCAGGCTTTGCGAGCCCGAGCAAATTTAGGTCTATCTCTGAGCCTCAATTTTCTTACATTTTCACTTTGGGGGGAAAAGTAATAATACCTACCTATTTCACCGAGTTGTCATCAGCATCAACTCACATAATGTGGGTGTAAAGAACTGTGTGATGCTTTATACATGTCAGTTGCTTTAGTGTTTTAATTATAAATAGAACTAAGTAGAATTTTAAAAGGTTATAAATACCATGGAAGCAAGCACTTAAAGATGAAGAAATAGTCTTTCTTTGGTTTTCTTGTACTATACCATATTTTCACTTCTTGACTTAGACTGATAGTTCATTGACAGTTTACAAAATTCAAAACATTGGAAGGGGAGAAACTATAGAAAAAAGTTAGTCAGCTTTGACTTCCCCTCCTGAGGACAAGTAATATAACCAATGACAGCGTCTGTGCATGGGAACACACAGGTATATTTTCTTGTAGAGAGGTGCTGTGACATACAAGCAAATATGAGGATGTGGTCTTCACCTTTTTCACATGAATGGCAATGTAGGTGAAACTCTGTCCTGCATCGTCTTTAATGACTTATGGAATCATAGTGGTTATTCCACGTCAGTCCACAAAGCCTTCCTCTTTGCCTCTTTTGCATGATATTCCAAAGACACACTGACTTATTTAAATATTCCCAGATTGTTGAATAGTTAGATTGTGTCCAACCTTTTGCTATAAAAGTTTATGCATCAGTGAATAAACTTGCACATGTGTCATTTCTTACAAATGAAGGCTATTTGTAGGATAAAGTTATAGATGTGGAATTATTGGGTCAGAGTGAATATATTTCATAATTGGTAAATATTGACGAAATGTTTTCCATAAAGGTTGTACCAGTTTATGCTTCCAGTAGCAGCATGTGCTTATTTTCTCAACATCAATTCTGAAGATTAAATGTGTTGTTTTTTTTTCAGGTTACAAGCCCCAAGACATCAAAGGTACTACAAAAATCACCCTCTACAAGAAGAATGGTAAGAAAACAAATTATCCCCTTTCCTCCCTAATTATTAACTCCTTACATAGTATTCTTTGGCTGTATCTTTGGCTGTCTAATTTTGGTCATGATATCCCTTCACACTTGACATTTTCAGTGTAGCATGTGAAGGAATGGTATAGGGACTCAACTCACTGATGACTCGGGATTTGTGGCTAGGGGTTCTGTTCACAAGAGTGAATACTCTGGAAAGTGAGAGGGAGCCTGTGATCATTATAACAGTCTCAATAATGTCAGGAGTGTGGAATTCATCTTAAGAGGCTTCTGGAGGGCGCTGGTAGGGGAGGGACGTGAGGTGGCCCAGAGAGTGTTTTAGGAGGGTGCTCTTAGCTCCCTGCCCCCTCCCAGCTCCTGACCCCTGGCATTGGCCATTCTGAGCACGCTGTCCTGGTTCTCGTTGGTAATAGCAGAAATGCATTGTGAGAACTGATCCTTTAAAAATAGTCTCCTACTGCTGCAGTAACAGTGCCACAAACAGGGTGGATTGCAGTGATAGAATTTACTTCCCACAGTTCTGGAGGCTGAAGCTCCGAAACGAAGGTGTTGTCTGGTTGGTTCCTTCTAAAGGCTGTGAAAGGAGGATGTGATTCTGACATCATTCTTAGCTTTCGGCGATGCCGGGAGTCCTGGGCCTTCCTTAGCTGTGGATGAGGCATCATCCAGTCTCTGCCTCCATCTTCACATGGCATTCACCCTGCGTGCGTGTGAGTGTGTGTGTGTGTCTTCTCCTCTTACAAGGACAGCGGTCACTGGAGTACAGTGGCCGGTCATTGGAGCACACTGGTCCTTGGATGAAGGGCACTTGTACTCCTGTTTCCAAACAAGGTCACATTCTGAGGTCCTGAGCTTAGGACTTCTTACTTGATGGGGTTGGGAGGACACAATTCAACCCATATTTCTTCTAGGGGATATAGTGAGTCAATTCACATGAACCTTCTACATCAACAGTACCTTCCTTTGATAATGCACAGATTGTTTAAAACGATTTCCTGAGGTATAGCCAGATCCTCAAATAGAAATGTATTTATTTCTGTCCATCTCTAAATAGATAGTTAATATTTAAAACACTCAAAATTTTGAAACAACGGGAATTTTCCATCCAGTTAGAACACAACAGACTTTACTGTTCATTAGACAGCACCATTCTTTGAATATTTCATGTAGACGGGAGCTCTGAGGCCCCAGGGCCCATCAGAGCACACGAGAGCCGCACACCTTCCCAGCCTCCACATTCCGTCCTTCACAGTGTTCCTGGTACACTTTGAGGGGTCGAGTTGCTGGAATGCAGTCTGGGATGACCATTCATTGCTGCTGACTAAAGAAACAGGTTTATTTGAAAGGCACATGTTCAAACAGATCCTTAAATTTTCAGAAGGCTGACTTTCTTAAAAAAATTGAAATACAGAATCCTGCTTCAAGTAGGCCTAGTTAGGACATTGTTCAAGCAAATGCACCCATAGAAACACTGGATTTCTGTCACAACCCAGTTTCACTTCCCTCATGACTTATACAGAATCTTTATTTATTTATCTGGCTGCACCGGGTCTTAGTTGTGGCACGCAGCCTCTTCAGTCTTCGTTGGAGCACACAGGATCTTTAGTTGCAGCAAGTGGGATCTAGTTCCCTGACCAAGGATCGAATGTGGGCTCTCATCATTGGGAGCACAGAGTCTTGGCCATCGGACGACCAGGGAAGTCCCCTCTCTTGTGATTTTAAGGCGTTATAGTGAGACGTAAGCCTGTAACAAAAGTAAAACCCCAGCTTAAGTTTAGTCATTAGCGAATCTCCTGTAAGAAAGGAAGCAGTGTTCTGTTCTGGCTGAATCCCCATCAATGTTTCCACATTTCCCTCATTTGGAATGCCACCGATTTCCATGTCTCTTAAGTGCAATCGCGGAGTTTGACCAAACGTGCTGCCTTTTTCCTCCTTGGCAGTCCGACGTGCCAGAGGGCGTCATAAGGGTCCACGCGCCCCTTCTCTCCAAGGTGTCCATGGCCATTCAACTCAACGGTCAAACCAAAGGCAGAGACATACTGGCAAAATTTCAATGTGAGAACAGGTGAGTAGATGTGAGAATCTCTGTAAGGCAGATGGGCCTTTATCTGATGAGCAAATCTTTTATTTGAAAATTTGACCTTTTTGAAAAATTAGAACCTGTTACTTTAAGGACTTCACCAGTAAATGAAGACTCAACAGTATAGAAAGTATACCATAGAGTTATCAATAACAAAAGCTTTTTTTTCCAAGGGACTTCTACAGTTGAGATTCTTAAATAGGTAGATTTTCTGTCTTGGTGGCTTCATTTACTCATTGAGTTTTACTTTTTATTTGGATAAAAATTTTAGCAAGTTAGTTTTTATATATCTAGATAGATTTCAAGGAATATTGTTATTCCAGGCTCCATTGGGCTTTAACATGACTGTAACAAGTACAGTTTATGTAGTGGAGTGAACGTCATAAAACCTATTATCAGTGAACCTTAGGATCAGAGTGATGTTGACAAAATATTTTTGCATGTCCGCCTTGAAAGTATGAAGATATTAGTTGCTCAGTTGTGTCCGACTCTTTGTGACCCCATGGACTGTAGCCTGCCAGGCTCCTCTGTCCATGGAATTCGACAGGTAAGAATACTGGAGTGGGTTGCCATTCCCTTCTCCAGGGGATCTTCCTGACCCAGGGATCAAGCCCAGGTCTCCTGCATTGCAGGCAGATTCTTTACTGTCTGAGCCATGTCTGCCTTAAGTCACCCTAAAGAACATTAAGTCATGGTAAATAATGGACACACACCACACAGGGGCGGGGTGTGGGGCTATCAGTGGGAACTAGGGGGACCATGTGGGGAAGGAAACACGGTAGCTTGACTGAGTCCATGGGGCCCTTCTGTTGTGACATCGCACTCGGATATTGCAAGATTTTACTATCAGGGAAACCAGGGAAGAAGTACACAGGATGTGTACGTTTTCTTATATCTGCATACAGATCTACAACTATCTCAAATAAAATGTTTCATTAAACAAAGAGGTGCATATCCTTCTCCCTCACAGTGGAGAGAGAGGATAGTTTATAACCAGAGGATAGTTTGTAACCAGAGGATAGTCTGTAAGTAACCAGGCTGACAGTTCAAGGAACCGGAGCTCAGCAGTGGCCTTTCCAGACTCTTCTATCCTGGCAGCCTAGTCCAGGGTGGAAAATTAAAATTGGCCAATTATTTGCTCTGACTTACTTTCATTATCGGGCAGACACATACAACAAAGTCAGCGTTAGTTTGCAAACCGCTGGGCAAGCTTAGAAATGTGGCATGGTCTAAGGAGAGAACCCCATTCGATTTTTGACGACTGCAGAAATGAGGCTGGACTGCTTTTGAACTGAGAGTGATGCGGCCCGTGACAAGGCAGTGTGAAGCGCCCAGCTGCTCCTCGGCCAGCCTTGATATGTCAGCCACGGTGTCCCCTCTCGAGTGCAGCTGACAGTGTGACAGTCGTGGATGGAAAGGCCGGGGCGGCTGTGGAACCCGGCTGCATCCATCTTCCTCTCTGCCTCAGACGCTTCGCTGTGTCAGACCAGAAAAAGCTTTTATCCTCCCTTCAGTCATCATCGTGATTTGTGGGGTGTATTCCACTCAAGGCAGAATCAATTGTTTGCTGCTATGGTTACTTAATCCACAGGTTTACCTCAGAATCTCTGAAGAGGGTTAAAATTACATCGCTTTCTTCTTTTCTCAGTCATGGTTCATCGGAATGCATGAAGATCCAGAACCAGAGGTTATATGAAATTGGAGGCAATATAGGTAAGCATTTGTCAATAATTTGTACTCCTACACGCTCTGATTACTCTGTTGTTGTTCAGACACTAAGTCGTGTCCCACTCTTTGTGACCCCATAGACTGCCTCATGCCAGGCTTCTTGTCCTTCACCATTTCCCGGAGCAGAGAAACTCTGAGTAATCTGCTGATTACTCTGAGTAATGCTCTAAAGGAAACAGGATGCTATTACTGTGTTAATAAGAGATGGTAGGATGGCATCACTGACTCAATGGACATGAGTTTGAGCAAATTCCGGGAGACAGTGAAGGACAGGGAAGCCTGGCTTGCTGCAGCCCATGGGGTCGCAAAGTGTCAGAGACGACTGAGCCACTGAACCAACAATTGTGATAATAAAAACATTTTACAAGTTTCTTAGATATAAAATCAAAATCAAAATTATCTAATTTTTTAAAAATCTCACATAAGAATAGTGTAACTTTCCTAAAAAAGTGTTCCTAAATTTACATGTAAATATTGTAGTTGATGTGGAGTGGATTTCTGAGTCTTTTAAAGATGACTCTGAAAGTTAGAGTGTCTCTGGAGATTTACTCAAATGAAAGGAGAAATTGTGGCACTTTCAGAGTCTTGACATCCTTTTGGTTGAACTTCCCTGTTTAGCTCCCAGCCCAGGTTCATCCTCTTTCCCTAAGGGGAGTCGACTGGAAGAGGTGGAGAGTTGTGTGGAGATGAGCAGAGTTACAGAAATGTTTATGCAGAGAGAAATGGTGGGGTTGGGAGGGGAAAGCTGGTGACAGAGGGGAGGATGACCACAGTCCTCATCAGCAGGAGGGACGCGATGGCCATGAATAGGAGAACAAGTATTTCATTCCAACTGTGAGGAGCAAAAGGGAGCCAAGGGCACATGCGCGGGACAGAATTTTCTTTTTATTCCTTCCCGTCCCTTCAAGGGACCCACCTCGACACCCACCTTCACATCCTCACCAGCGCATCTCATCCTGGGCCTTCGCTTCTGCTCCAGCTCGGGCCCAGAGCGCCCTCCCTCGGATGGCCCTGCCTCGCTCCCTCCCCTGGCAGGTGTTTGCCACTGTATCAGCTTCTCAGTGAGAGCTTCCTGGTCGGGATCCTCTCTCTGCCTTCCGGCTTTCTCGTTCTCTCGAGTTCTTATCATCATCGGGCTTACTTCCCATCATACTTTCTTATTTGCTAGTTGCCTTTACCACTTTTAGAACGTAAGCAAGAGGGCAGATATTTTTACCTGTCTGATGCATTGCTGTGGCCTCAGCCCTTAGAATAATGCTTGACACCATAATGGCTCGAGAAATATTTGAGAACTGAATGAATGAGTCAAGCAGGCAATGAAATCTTGGTATTTTGTTTGAGACTTTAGCGGACATTTCAAACATACTGTACATAAGAATTTTCAAATGCATTTGCCCCCATGGAATGATCTTTCCGTTGCTAATTCCAGATCTTCTGCCCACAGGAGAAATGAAGTGACCACTCCTAAAATAAAACTTCATGTTCATCCTTAGTCCTGGTCAAGTTACTATCTGTAAAAAAACAAAAAAAATTAGAGGACATGTATTGTCACATAAATGATCATCAGTGATTATTATCATGTAAATGAGTTGATGCCTGAAACAGGTTCCTGCCATATTTTTCTAATTGGTGTGGTGATCTGGGGAGCAGTTTTCCTGGGGTTAGTCTTTTTTTTCCCACAGTGTCACATGGGGTTTATTTAGAGTACTTCACAGTCAGAAAGAAACAAAGGAAAGAGGGAAGGAGGGCAGGTTGGCTGTGCGGGAAACTTTAAACAGAATCTGCTTTTGGCTGAGAGAACTATATTGGTCTATTGAGTCTTGCAACACTCATACACACAAATATACACATGCACAGAAGTGTGGCCTTTTGAAAACATTCTCCGATTTTCATTTCTTTTAGGACAGCACTGCTTGGATCCGGATGCTTATATACTGGATGTATATCATGTGAATCCCCAGGCAGAATGGGTGATTAAACCCCAACAGAGTGTTTGAAATCACCCCCCAAGATGGCAGCTACCATGTATTACACACCAAGGAGTCCTACATTCAGTAGGGAAAAAACATGTTTGTCCCTAGACCCTCTCGGTGTTTCTCAGCCCAACTGGTGTCTCCCGGAATTATCAGCATGAATCGTGGCAGAGGAGCTGGTTGACCATCTGAGCTGAAGCCGTCTCATGCTGGTTCCTTGGTAAGAGTGAAGGAAAGAGGGTGTGATCCTTCCAGAAGAAAGGCCAGCATAGAATATGGAGCTCTTATCATTTCTGATACTTTGACTCACAACAGAAATGAGCTTGGTCCTTATTCCTGGGGATAAGAGGCACTTCTCGACGTAGCAAATGCTGCCAAGCACAAGAGATGGAAGAGACTTTTTTATACCTATGTTTTATATATATATATATATTTGAACAAGAATGCCAGAAAAAAACAAAAACGTCTTCTCTGAATAGTAATTTAGATCTCCTTTCCAAAGAGACACTGTTTCCAAAGTCACGCATACAATATTTATGCTCTGACTTGCTCCTGAATTGGAGGAGGAGGAACTTCTGTTTAAAGACCACTGTATTTTTACGTATGCTGTACTGTGTTGTGACTGTCTGCTTTCTGGTGCAAGTGAACACTTCCCCATCATGGACTATTGAAAACGGATACTTTTAAAGCTTACTCTGTTATGAGCACATGGTTAAGGTCAGGTTTACAAAGGCTTTTCTTGTGCTTCCATAACCTTCAGTGTAGTCAGCAGTCCTGGAGCTTCTGTTTCTCATCATGATGATGGTGCTCAGTGAATAGCTCTCCATGTGCCAGGCCCAGATTGTCTTTCCTCCCCAAACAGATCATTTTTTAAGTTTCATGACTGTAGATAATCACTTCTGCAGCCCCAGTGTTCAAATGCAGAACTGCCTTTATCCAACTGCTCTTTATCCAAGAGTGCTGAAAAATACCATTCTATCCAGACTTCCTACGCTGTAAAAACAGATTTTGTTTGTGTTCATCCATCATAGACTTGGCCAGGCCCCGTGGATTAGCATCAGGCTTTAGAATCAGATGTATGTTGGGTGACCTGAAAACTGCCTCGCTCCCAGAAGCCCACAAAGCCATTTTTCCAGGCCTGGCGTTGGCGAGAAAGCACAGTTCTCCACGATTCTGAGAGCAGATCTGACATGTGCTGAGAGGTCAGGGAGCCCTGCCTTTCCTCTGGGGACTGCGGCATATAGAAACGGGGATAGAGGTCTCACTTATCCCACATGTGTGCTTTGGATTAGAATCTACAGCTTGAGATTTTGACGAGCTTATGTGAGTTTTAATGAAATTTAACATCCAAATGACTCTCCCTTGCAGTTCAAACAATAGACAAAGTTGCTCACAAATGCAGAAAACATTTTACCTACTTGCATTGGTAGGTGGGTTCTTTACCACTAGTGCCACCTGGGAAGCCCTTTATCTATTTACCAAGTCTAAAAATGTAATGTGATGATAATTTAAGCCTATATTATGAAAGAAATCTTTTCCATGCTCAGTATGCCTTGATAGCTATAAAACCATGATTTATATTCAGCGTTCCTGGCCATTGGAGCTTTGTTACATTTTTGTGGAAAACTAATATCCATTCATTTTATTTGTTTATTTGAGAATTTTTATTTCCTTTGCTTGAAAACCCAGTGGAAGAAAAACATGCATTCTCTTGGTTTATATTTATTCCTATGTTTCATCAGTTTTCAATGTATGGCTAATTGACAGCATGTGAGTTTGCATAATGAACTTTGAGGGTTTGACAAAATGCAGTTATCATTCTTGCAATTCAAACAGGAGTAAGCATCTTACTCCATGTATTAGTTGCTAAGTTCCAAGACATGAGATGGCTGTAACTGATGCCCACATACAAGGAAGTTCTTAGGTGCCTTACACTTCTGTGTATATATTAAAACGATGACTTATTTTTCTAACTGAATTTCCTCTCATTTAGAATAAATTCTGTTGTGCTTATAAAATTCACCAACCTAGCCAATTTTTTATTTTTAATTTTTTATTTCGGAATTTTTATTTCTTTTGACTGAAAACACATTAACACTGATGGAAAAATTCTAAAAGTCTTAAGATTTACCCCATTAGTCATTAGTTTTAAATAAATGGCTAACAGATGACAGGTAAAAAAAAATTAAGTTTCTGAATTTCTTATCCACATTTGATGTGGATGTGACATCATTTAGATGTCAAAGGCTCAGCCCAGTCAATAATCTTAAATTAATCACTTCACTGCCTTCAAGGATGTGTGACAACTTTAAAATAACGATATAATATGGAAGCCCATGTCACTACCCATATATTGGATGTAACTTGAATTCTTAGTCATAGCATTAACTAACTGATCAGAGAAGAATTTCCAGTAGACAGACAATCTAATTTTTGTGAAGTTAAAGAAGTTCTTTTTACTGATTTTATTACTTTTTTTTAACTTAACTTTATTCTTAATGAATAAACAAACCTGTACAACTAAAACTCAGAAATGCCAGTCACCAAAAAAAAAAAAAAGAAAGAAATGCCAGTCACCTAAGTGTTGAAAAACGATCTTTGCCTTATAAAGAGTTGTTTTTGCAATAGTTACAGTCATCTATAAAAATGAATAGTGTAAAGGCAAACATGAATAGTGTATCTGCAAACAAGAGTCAGACCCTGGGCTTCTAAATTTCTTTTCTTGGTAGCTTCCACCTCACCTTGTCACATGCGCTCTTGGTATGCAGTTAGGAAAATGACATCTAGGAGAGCATTAGAGAAAGTTAACGTTTTAGGAATGCTTATTCAGAAAAAAACCCTAGAACAGACTCCTTCTTGCCTCCAGTCTACAAAAGAAGATCCCTTTGCTAAACAGCTCCCTTGAGTGACCCTTCAGGTCACTGAACAATGAGTTCAGTGAGTTCAAGGGGAGATCTTTGAACAAACTGGAATATTAATCTCTTTACAATGTATATACAATATAAACTACCTCACTTGTCTTTCCTGGGGGAAAAAATAACGGACGTTAACAATTTTTGTTACAAATGGTCCCTGATCTTATTATTTAAGTCACTTCAGTTAGCTTTCAATGTACATTTAATAATATGCATTTAATGATGTAAAATATTTTTAGCAAAAGCTTTAAAACCAAAAATACTCTGTAATTGTGATGTGTGTGGTAGAGGCTGAGAGAGTCTGTCCTTTAGTCATCGTCTCGTGTGTTTAACCCTGTGGAGTCACAAGTTTTCAAATGTAGGAATTCACTTCATCAAATTTCATGCATTTTCAACTGTTTTCCCCACGTTGCACTTGACTGAAAGTCACGTGAGGTTAAAGTGCCCCTTCTTTCTATCAAACATATTTCAATTGTTTTTCATAAATGTATTACACATCTGAAAGGAATATATATTATGGGACTCTGTAGTTTCTATTTTCTGTCTGGCATTTTCAGCTGTTTTTTTTTTTCTTTTTCTTTTCATAAACATGTCACTTAATAAAAAATAATATGACATGGATTAAAATGTTTCAAACATTTTTCAACAGTTGTACACACACACACTACCTTAATTTAAAAATGACATCTTTTCTTTCAGGTATTTTCCAGCTGTTCTTGGAAATGATGTGATTTGATTGAAAAGTCACGTTGTCACTAGGATGCCAATTTTTTATGTTGTCTCCTATCTCAAGAGTTAATGTTCTTTCATCCTGTCAGTTTCATTGCCAAGTATAATATGTATGTTGCATTTTATTCATAAAAATAAAGAGGAAAAATCCAAAAGCATTATCATGAGATTTCTTGTGTTCAACTAGTCCAAAGACACCATGGTGCTGGTGAAAGAAAAGGATCCTTAAAGTCAGAAGGTTTGTGTTTTGAGCCCAAGGCTTTGCCACCTACCATAAACAGTGATGTTATAGGCACTGGGGTAATGGTGGATGTTTGTGCAAAGATATTTACTAAACTTGTTTGAGTTATTGCCTTTTAATATGTGCTTTTTAAAATATATATATTTTCAATAGGTACAGGAACGAATATTTGACTCATTCATGATTTTTTTACACTCAACATTTTACCGTATACCAAAGACAAGAAAAATAGATAATAAAAAGGCATAAAGATTAGAAGAGATAAAATAGTCTCCATCTGCAAATAATATGATCATTTATATACAAAAGCCTAAGGTATCTTCAACTATTAGAACTAACAAGATCATTTAGCAAAGTCATGGCGTACAAGATTATTATATAAAAATCAGGTTGGGAAAAATATAATTGTAAAGCATATATTCAACAAAGCACTAATATTCAGGCTATATTAAGAACTCACTAAAAAAAAGGCAGGCAACCTAATTTCTTTAAATAGGGGAAGACTTGAATAGATGCTTCACAAAAAATATACAAATCATCAGTGTGTTTAAAATGCTCAGAATCGTGTGCCACTAGGGGGATGCAAATTAAATCCACATTTCCTGCTCCATGGCTGATGAAGCTATCTTCCCAGGCCCCCGGTTAGTGGCTCCGAGGACTCTCCCTTCCCATGGCTCTCGACTGGGGAGTGTGTGCTCTCTCTGCTGGCTGTCCTGGAAGGGTCTCATCCTGCCTGAGCCCAGCTGCCATCTCTTCCACTAGATCAATTTGGAATCTGGCTGGCTGTAACAAATGACGAAGTACATTAGCTCAGTTCCAAAGAGCTCTGCCAAATGGGCTTTGACAGAAGAGCACACGAGCAGATGGAAAAGAATCTGGAGTTCCTGGGGTGCTGGGGGCCCCCCAGATCTGCTTGTCTCATCTTCCTAGCAGGAAATGACACCTTTCCTGACGGGCCAGACAGATCTCGGCGGAGGGGGGACCATCACCAAAGGTTCATCTGAGTTTTAGCAACTAATAATCACATGTGGAGTCTACACACTGTCATCTTATTCGTGAACTTTTATGCCATAACAGTTCATTCTCAGCAGTTGCTCTGCATTTGTACAACGTGTTTATTACAGCACAACAGTGGGCTT